CCCCCACACACGCAAACCCACAGCACACACAAACACGTACAAACACAAAAACACACACGCACACACACACACACACACACACACACACACAAACACTCACACACATGCACACTCTCTCCCTCTCTCAGGTCAAGAAGCAGCGCCACGCCCTGGGCCGCCTGTTCCGCCAGTTTGGGCTGGACCAGTTCCGCATGAGCCGCTACATCCTGCAGCACAGGCAGGCCCTCTTCACCGCAGCCTACAAGAACGCCGCGCGCGCCGCCGCGGCAGCGGGGCCGCACGCATGGTGAGGGCGCACGGCCGGGCACGGGCGCGTGGCTTGGGGCCGGCAATAGGAGGGGAGAAGCGCGGCTCAGGGTTGACGGCAGCGGCGGCAGCGGCGGCAGCGGCAGCGGCGGCAGCGGCAGGAGCAGCAGCAGCAGCAGCAGCAATAGCAGCAGCAGCCAGGACAGCAGCAGGAGCAGGACCAGGAGCAGGACCAGGAGCAGCAGCGGGACGAGCGGCCGCTGAGGCAGGTCGCATCAGCAGCAGCAGCCGCTGCGGCAGCAGCCCCGGCGCAGCCGCGCAGCAGCGCCAGGCGCGGCCCACATCGCTGGCAGTGCGGCGAGCGCGGCGCGGCCTTGGCTGCCGTGGCACGCGGCTTTGCTTGGCATGTTCAGTGGCAGGACGCCCGATGGAGGCGGGACTGACGGGCATCAGGGGGTGAAGTTGTGGAGCCAGAGGCGACACTTCACGGGGGCAGCCGATGACAGAGCGCGGGGCTGAGGTTGCTGCGACAATGAGGCAGATAAGGAGGATCGGCCTTGCAGATGGATACAAGCAGGGTTGAGAGATTGTTGAGGGAGGAGGTTGATTGATTGAGGATCGCGGAGGTGCAGGGAGCGGAGGAGGGGGGCACTACGAGGAGGGTGAGGAGCGGCAGGGGTGCGCGGCGCGGCGCGGTCGACGACAAGAGGCGCGGCCGGCGGCGTCAGCGGCACCCCACGCCGTGCAGGGAATTAAGAAGCAAGGAGCAGGCGGCGGGCGAGGGGGACCAAACAGGGTGCGGTGCATTAACAGCGTTGGGGGGGGCATTTGATGGCCTCTCTGCGTTGTTTTATTTGTGATGAGCGTTATCTTGATTCCTTGATTTGCCAGCTGCAGGGGTGGCGCCGCGGCGAGGCAGGTGTCGCAGGCGGAGCAAGAAGCGCGCGGCAACGCGGGCGCACACGCCCGCAAAATTCGCAGAACCCTTTGACTGCAATCTACATGTACAGCTCACGCACTTGCACGCAGCAGGTGGTTTCAAATATTTTTTACTCATTCAGTGTCAGTTCGCTGTGTGTCCCATGGAGTCCAGTCGACTGCGTGAGGTTGCGTCTTTTCTGATCCATTTGTCTGAGACCACCACACGCGCAGTAGGTTCGTTTCTTCCCGGCCACATGCGGCGCGTGCGGGGCCGCCCTCGCCCGGTGACGTTCGGTCAGGCCCACTCATGGCAAGAGGGAGATCCCTCGGTGGGCTGCGTCTGGCTGAGTGGTCGGCTGGCCTGCGCTGGGGCAGGGGGCTTGGCCCAGGGCTGAGCCCTGTGTCCGTATGTTTGACGTGCTTGGTTCCTGACAGACACACACTGTGCTTTTGGGGGCTGCAACTTGCAGCCCCTGCTCAATACACAAACGCGGTTTTTGCTGACATCTTGGGGAAGAACTGCCCATTTGATTGGCTGTTTGACTGCTCCCGAATGCCCAATCTACCTATGATTTCTTTTGGACCGTTCCAGCTGTGTGCACAAACTCTGTAATAATTTCTTTACGTGCGGCTAGCCCTTCCCTGGAAAGGTTGCTTGCTGGATCATAGATGCAACCTGATGGCCCGTCTGCATAGAAGTCCGAAAAGCCAACCAGGGTGTCTATTTCAGAAGGACCCGCGTAGGCTGACCGGCAGTACACAAGTCATGTGAGTGGTCAGGCCACATCCGGGTGGCATGAAGGTGTGTAAAACGCGCACACGCCGCATTTGCATTGGCCATGGCTGCCGTCAGGGTCTTTGCTGCCTGGCCGCTGGTTCCTTGGTGTTGCTTTGGTAGTCAGATCCCGCATCTTCTTGGCCCCGCACGAAAGCACACGTGCGTGCGTGGGCGCCTGGTGCTCTTGGGCCCACCGCACACGCCATGCACTGATGGGCCCCTGGCATACACAGTGTTCCCGATTGGTTGTTTCACCATGTTTACTCTCCCTCATACCCAATGCATGTCCTGAGTGTCAACAATTTGCTCTCAAACTCCCTCGGTATTGCTGCCTCGTCAATCTTGTGCACGTGTGGGACGTGCGCGCATGCGAGATGCGACAGCCGCCACTTGCCCTTGACAGTCACATGTGGGGGCGTGCATGCATGCATGCGTGAGGGCAGGGCGGGGCGAGGGGCAGTGTGCAGCACACAGCAGGGAGAGCAGGCGACGGGACAGCTTCGCATCACCTGCCACATTTAGAAACCACAGCTTCGTGTGTCTGATGTCTGATCACGATGCAAAGTTTGTGCTGGTATCCAAAATTCGATTGGCTGCACCCCCTGCGTGACCCAACGACATATCCGCGTGCTCCGTCTTCCCGCCTGCTGTGATCTAGGCGAGCACGGGCCGTAGCAGATTGGTCCTCTGGTAGCTGGAGCTTCTACATTGGCGCCTGGCGACTCTAGCGCGTGGCAGCCGCGATAGGAGCTAGCCCACCTCCAGCAGGCCGTCCGCGCCCAGTGCACCAGGTAAGCAATCCAGAGGGAGCCCCGCCGGGCACTGCCGCCTTTGCCGCCCATGGAGCAGCAGCAGCAGAAGCAGTAGCAGCAGCATGAGGAGGAGCAGCAGCCTGGGCATACTTACCAAACCACCAGGCGAGCGCCCTGTCGGGTCACGCCCATCCCCGTTGTTGTGCAGGCACAGGCAGTCAATGCATGAGATCATTCCCCTTCGTCCCACGCCCTGCTGGGCTATGGCTCACCCCATCCTGATATTCATGCCTCCAAGGTTTCAGCAATGCCTTGCTCAGCGACCCCCGCCCCTGCCCCCATGCCTTTTGCCTCTGATTGTTATGACCATGCAGGCAATGTCGAAGCGCCAGGCTGTCGAGGCCGGAAGTGCTCTGGCAGTCGCTGAGGCGGCGTGCCAGCAGCTGGTGCGATGCTGGGGCATCGTCTGTGTGCGGTGCCGGCACCACCATGTGGGGGGAGCGGTCACTCTTTCTCCACCCAACCCTTACTGCGCTCATGCATTATGCGCAGGCGGCTGAGACGAACGGCATGCCGGCTGAGACCCAGCGCTCAACCGACTCGACCGCTGCTGTGGGGATCCAGCGAATGCAGCAGCTGGAGACTGCGGTGTGTGCCAGCAGTCAGGAGTACGCGCCGCAATCCTGCTGCACTCGAACAGCGTCGATGTTCCCCTTCATTCTGAAATGCCTCCCCGTCTTCAAATGCACAGCACGCGCCCTGCAGGCTGCCTTCCTCTGCTTTCATCCCAATCCGCGTTCCCCCCGTTGAGCCATCGTCCGCACCGCATGGCTCCCCGCGCGACACGCTCCCTTGGGCCCAGCTGCGGGACGCCGAGGCCAGGGCCGCCGCAGCGGAGAAGGCCGGCCAGGAGGCTGCGGAGGCGGCGCAGCAGCAGGTGCATGCGACAACCCAGGAGGGGGGGTCTAGGCGGCGTGCACAGCATGCGTGCATGGCACATGCGCCCGCCTGATTTGCATGCTTCCTGATCGTCCCTGACCGCCCCGTCCCCACGACCCTGCCAACTCCAACCTGCATCGCTGTTCGTCCGCTGTTTGAACCCCAGGCGCAGCTGCTGGGGGCGCGGCTGGCGGAGGCCAATGGGCAGAAGGCCGACCTGCTGAAGGCTAAGGAGGAGCTGGAGGAGAAGGTGCGTGGCGGGGGTGATGTCTGATGTGTGGCCAGGGGCAGCGGGGTCGGGGGGACACGCGGGCGGCGGTGGAGAGGGGGCGTGTGTGTGGTGCGAGTGCGTGGG